ACAGTCTTCTCCAGGGCTCACCCCCCTTTTAATACAGTCTTAGAATAAGGACATGCAGAGAGAAAACAAGTTATACCACCAGCAAGAAATTTTTAAGAGGGCTTGCTTTTAAAATATATACTTATCATAGACAGTTACTGTGTGCACTTACATCTTTTTTTTTTTTTTTGCAACCTTTTTACATTTATTCCAAGCTTTTTTTTTTTTTTTAAGAGTTATTTACTTATGCATACGAGAACTGGGGTCCAGGCCAGAGATGCTGGGGGTAGGAGAAATCACCAGAGACAGAGTGGGGAACAGAACAGGCAGATCAACTAAAATACACTGCTGAGGGCAGCAGCAGGCATGTCAGGAGAGGTCTGCTGCACCATGTGGGTCAGCTCCCTGGCGGATAATCTAACTCTGCTGGTGTGGCTGCAGTTCGCTTCACAGTTCTTTGTTTTAACCAGATGTGCCACCAAGGAGGGCCCACACACTTGTGATCAAACTATATTCACAACTTTGTATCTGATTTTTTTCACTTACTATTGTGACCCAAGCATTTTTCATGTCATCAATTTTAAGCCTATATATTTCACTGGCTATATGAACTAACTTTTCATTTCTCTAGTTAGATATTTATGTCATTTTCAATGTTTTTTTCTGTTATAAATGATACGGGTTAAGAAATTATGGTTGAGGGCCCTCCTTGGTGGCCCAACAGGTTAAAGCACAGCACTATGAAGCTGTCTAAAGCCAATGTAGCATGAGTTTGATCCACAGCCTGGGAGGTGACCCACATGGTGTGACAGACCTCTCCTGTCTTACCTGCTACTCCCCTCAGCAGTGTACTTCAGTAGATCTGCCTGTTCTGCTCCCCACTCTGTCTCTGGGGAAATCTTTCACCCCCCCCCAGCACCTCTAGCCTGTACCCTAGTTCTTGTATGTGTAAATAAATCTTTAGAAAGAAAAATGAGGGCCCTCCTGGTGGCACAATGGGTTAGGACACAGCACTGCAAGCTAGAGGCAGCCACTTCAGTGTGAGTTCGATCCCCGGCCTGAATGTGACCCACATGGCGCGGCAGACCTCTCCTGACCCGCCCGCTATTCCCCTCAGCAGTGTACTTCATCAATCTGCCTGTTCTGCTCCCCATTCTGTCTCTGGTGAATCCTCTCACCACCCTTGCACCTCTCGCTTGTACCCCAGTCCTGTATGCATAAATCTTTAAAAAAAAAAAAAGAAAAATGAGACACTAAATTAAAAAATAATTATGGTTGAGGAGTTACATGATTTGATTAATTATTATTCTAAAGTAAAATCTGTGAATGTAAATAATAAAGATTTTGAGATTGTAAAGTGAAATGGTAAATCTCAAAGCCAAGTAACAGTGTTTCTGGTTCTATTTTGTTGTTACTCAACTTCATGAAAAACAGCTGATAGTTTGAGGTAGCAGAGTTATCGCAGGCCGGAAAGGCAGACTGGGCTCAGGACTTCCCCGGCTTCTTTCCTTCCACATCCTGAGTTAATGGGAGAGGATGATTAGAAACCCTCCCAGAAGCTTTTGGAAATGGCTCTGAGAAGTGGCAAGCAGAACGAGCTATCTCCCTCTTGCAAACCCAAGGCTATTTTAAGTTCCTAAGAATGTGGCATTTTGTCACTGGCTACTTTTAGAACTGATAGTACCTAGAGCAAAAGTACTACTTGCAACTAACTTCTGAGAACAGGCGCTAAAGAACAAGTGCTTAGGGAATGAACATGTATAAGCGCTGTAGGAATGGTCAGCTCTTCCTGCTAATCTGTAATTCCTGTTCTTAAGTGTTTGTTCTCATCACCATGAGGTTAGAAATATTTACTCCATTTCTCATTTCCTTTGTCTTGGTTTGAAGAGACAGACGGAACTGTAGTGAGCTCATTCCTGACCTAATGACTAATTCCTAAGTGTTACAGGGTAAGGGAAGTCTCAGCGCCTTTAGGTTTCTCTTAGTCTCTCTTCCATTTCTGAATTTCATGAGCCTCAGCTGATTTCATTTTTCATTCCTCCTGGTTTAAAACAGCCAACATCGAAAATTATCCAAGTAACTGTAGTTTACTAATAAAAAGCTGTTACTTTTGTAAGAAAAATCATGTCCCGTTACTATACTGTATCGGAATCCTAAAATAGCAGTCTCCCATTTTTTCCTAGATGCTATTATTCTGCCAAGTAACTTTGTATTTATCCTAGAATTAAACCTCCTACATGCTAAGTATGCACGAGTGATTTGCCAGGCACCTGAAAAGCTCGTCTAAGTTAGTGATCTCCCCGACTCCCATGTTTTCTGAACTGACGTCTGTATTACAGCTTCTTACACCAGATGACACTGCACCCCCAGTACATGTTTACTCTTACTGTATAAATAGAAAATCAGTTTAGTGAAAGGAGATCGTCTTGGCACAGTTACTGGTTTATCTGGTACGTTGACTTGTTAAATAACGTTGATTGCTTTATCACAGGACAGATGTGATAACTGCCCTCAGCTGCACCAGAAAATGAAGCAACTGTTAAGCAATTATTTGTCAAAGCTTCACTGCCATAGCAACGAAGAAATACTTCGACAGTTGATGAGTCTATCTCCTCTGAAAACAAGCACCTTTCTGACTACAGGAGCTCAAAAACTTCACACAAACCCATGAGGCGTACTCAGCATATTTAATAGAAGCTCTCCAACTGCTCACTAAGGAAAGTACTCACACTTACATTCAAAGCACCTTACACACCCATCCAACCCTGCAGACCGGAGTTGCTCTTCCATCTTACCTTGATTTTGGACTATTTGTTTATCTTCTAAAGTAATGAGGGTTTCTACAAAGAATACAATGATTTTCACAAACTTTCTCTGCCAGGATTTGGTCTATAGTGCTGATTTCCCCCACAAATCACATATTCTTTTTAAAGATTTTTTGTGTGTGTGCAGGGATGGCAAGAGACTTCATCAAAGTCAAGTTGGGGAGCAGAACAGGCAGATCAGTGGAGTACACTGCTGAGGAGAGCAGCTTGCCGGTCAGGAGAGGTCTGTGGTGCCGTTTTATCTTTTGAGGTTCTTTTTTTTTTTTTTTTTTAAGATTTATTTGTTTATGCATACAAGAACCGGGGTATAGGCCAGAGGTACAGGGATTGAGTGGGGAACAGTGGGTAAGGCAGGAGAGGTCTGCTGGGCCATGTGGGTCACCTTCCTGGCAGGGATGGAACTAGAGCTACAGTGGCTGGTGATAGCTTGATATTGCTGAGACCTAATCCCTTGTGCCACCAGGGAGGCCCTCTCTTGAGGTATTTATACAAAATATTTCCACAGATGCAAAATAATCAAAGGACAACCACAATATCCGAAAGTTCTGGCCTAAGACAAAGCTTTCTCTAAAATTTCTCTAACCTTTAAACTAATTTGATCTAGTAACATTACCATGCTTTCAATGTATCTGTTTTGGGAGTTTGGGGGCGGGGGATAGAGGAAATGCTACAAAGTCTAATATGCATTGAAAAATAGTTTTTCAAGCACTGCCCAACAAAGTGACTTTGATGATAGATTCAGGGTCCATCTCTGAAAAAACACACACTTCTTTTCTCCCATGTTTAAGTCTTTTTTTTTTTGGGGGGGGGCTTTTTGTCCCCATGGCTAACCCTTCTACTAGTTGAGTTCTTATATTACTACAGAAATCATGTATCTGAATTTTCCTAGCAAATAAAAATACCTGATCAGAGCCAGACCAATCATTCCACAGGAGCATAACAACCAAGTGATGAGTCTTTCACAACAGAATCTTTTTAGTGATAAAAAAAATTATAGAACTGCATTATAACATTATACAGCCGAGTCTTTATTTGTAAATTGAGGATTCCCCCAACAGAACTGTCTGCTGAAAAATTTCACCCATTGGTGCAGATTCTCTACATATCTACCCCTAAAACAGTAATTTTTCTCATATTTTCTTTAACGTTGATGGCCTTAAAACTTTCCTCACAAAGCTTTTCAGAAGAAAACAAGTTTCCTTATCAAGACTGAATCTAGCTTCCCCAACTCCCAAGACAACCATCTTTCCTTATCTCCCCCTATCACAGTAACACTTGTTAGGTTGTTTTCTTATTTAAACAGTTATTTTCTTCAGCTGAAGGGGATGAAAGTCTGGAGATGGTGCCTGGCCTGGGATTTTAGGTAATCAAAAGGCACACACTTTCTTCCCTAGGTATCTTGCCCTTAAAATGACACTACGGGAACAATGGTTTATAACCTTCCTTGCTGACCTTCCAACAAAGCTTTCAACTTCTGTACTGAAGTCCTATTCTTTAGAGTCTGCTGTAGTTTGGGAGGTAAAATCTTGACATAACCTTTCACAAGCTCTGCTATCTCCCTGCCCCCCTCTTCCTTCCTCATCATTTACTGGGAATACCTAGTTCACCTTTTGTCTCAAGCCCATCCACTTCCTTCCAGGGCTTCAAAGGTAGGCCAGGGCCTTGGAGGTGTGGTCAGCAGGCCCTCGGTGGCTAGCAGAGCCATCACACCTTCTGGGGTATCTCTTCTACCTGTCACCGGAACACCCATTCTTTAAATAAAAATTTACCCACCCAAAGTCCTGTTTCACTCTGAAAGAGGATGGACCAGCCACTCAGGAGCCCTTTGTTTGAGGTTTCCACACCTCCCATCCTCATCCACAAAGCGTCAGTCTTCACACAGGTAGGAAGTCTGCTCTGCACCAGGCAGGAGCCTAGATCTCCACATCTAATAAAAGGGCAGGCCATGGCCAGGTGCGTCCAGGAGCCAAAATTCTCCAATTCTATGACCAAACTTGCAGGTCCTATTTCTGCAGAACCGCGGCAGCGACCCTTGAACTCCGCGCGGGTGCTGGCAGCTGGAGACCGGCACCCTCCAGCCTGGGCTCTGCGTACCCCGGCTACCGACCTCGGGCGCCGGGGGCAGCGGAGGCCCTGCCCGCACCCGCTCCCTACCGCGCCATGCCCTCCATCCTCACTCGCCGCCGGCCGCCTCACCTGGCACGCTGGCATCGCTAGCCCCGCACCTCACGGGAGACCATGAGTCCGGACAGATTTCAGCGGTCACCCGCCGGCAGAGGAGGCTGTGGCGGGGACGTCCGGGCCCCGGAGTCCAGCGCTCCGCCACCGGGAACGCGCCGCCCGGTTTCTAAGAAACCGGCGGCTCTGGAAAGGGAGGGGCGGGGCCGGCGGAAGACCTGCGCATGCTCTCTGCCGGGGGTGGGTCCGCGTGGGGCGGGGCCATAGACCCGGAGCTGCGCATGCTCCCTTGTTGGGGGCGGGGGTTCGGTGGCCTGGCAGCGTACGCTGGTCACTCGTTTCCGGAGGTGGGGCGCGGGGGGCTGTAGTTTACCAACCTCGGCTCCTGCTCCTTTTGGGACCAGCGCCCCGCATCAAAAGCGAAAAGGTTCTGGGAACTTGTAGTGGGCCTTGGTTGTCTTGAAATGAAGGAAGAGCTGGGGGTGGACCTATCTTTTCAAAACGCCAGTTGTCAGGAACTTCCCGACTCAGGGCCTGTTCTTTCAGGTGCCTGTCAGAACTCCTCCTCCTCTAGATGTTTTTTGATCTTTTCATGTATATCAAGTGCTTTTCAGGATTCTCAGTGCTCTCAGCGACCCCTAGAACTCCCCCCACGCCCTTATATCGTTTTACTGGAACCAGTGCCCCGCCCCCCACCTCAAGTAAATACCGTTTTGCAATAGACCCTTTAGTTCATTAGACTGCTCTACAATAGTGAAACCTGTAAGGCCGAATGTAAAACTGGTGATGCTGAAATGTGTGATTGGTTATTTCTGCCTTGAGGATCCTTCATCCGTTTGTCAGACTCTCCTGCTGAGTGAGTCTAGACCCCTACTCAACTGGCATCCGGTGTCCCAGCATTCCCTTTGCTTCCCAGCAGCCTCCGATGACAGAACTTGTCAGCTGAACTGAGCTAGATCCCCCTAAGACCTGCTGACCAACAGGGCTATCCTGCTTTGGCAAGAGAAATCTGAACTTCCTTTCAACTTTATGAGTGATGAGATAGTGTTAACTTCTGAGGCTCTGCATTCCAGGGTATTTAAACAGCATCCCTGGCTTCTACTCACTAAATTCCAGTAGCATCCTAACCCCAGTTGTGACTCCCAAGGATACCTCCAGATGGTTTCCACATGCCCCCCCCAAAATCACTCCTAGTTGAGAGCTACTTAGTCTAGCTGCATATGAATCTATTCTGGCTTATGGAACCAGGACTTTTGTGCTTAATCTAATACTTGACTCTTCTCACCAATTCTGTGAAATGTCAGAGTGATACAGATTTGGGATGTGCTGGGTTAAGATGCACATACATCTTAACACTGGACTTCTAGAGCTTTAATGAGCTGGTCATATTCACTGTGAACATCTATGACAACTTATTTACTGGATCACAGAACACTTTTCCAGTTCCAGGAACCATCTCCCTCTCAAATGTAGTTACTTATGCTTTCCAACAAATTCCTCATTCCAGTGACTTTCAGCGGTCACCTTTAAAGTAGCACATTATCCATCCTGTCACCCAGACCAAAACCTGCATTTGCTTAGGTAGGCTTTTTTTTTTTTTTTTTTTAAGATTTTATGTTTACAGAACTGGAGTACAGGCCAGAGGTGTGGTGGGTGAGAGGATTCACCAGAGACAGAGTGGGGAGCAGAACAGGCAGATCTACTGAAATACACTGCTGAGGGGGGCAGCGGGCAGGTCAGGAGAGGTCTGCTGTGCCAGATGGGTCAGCTCCCTGGCCAGGGATTGTATTTGCTGCAGTGACCTTAGGAGAGCTTCATAATGCAGTGCTTTAACCCGTTGCACCACCAGGGAGAGCCCTACCTAGGTTTTTTTTTTAAGTCAGCACTTTAGAAAGAAATTTATTTTTGCATAGAACAACTAGGGTATAGGCCAGTGGTACAGGGAGTGAGAGGATTCACCAGAGACAAGAGTGGGGAGTAGAACACATGGATTTATTGTAATGTACTGCTGAGGGCGGGACAGAAAAAGTCTGCTGTGCCATATGTAAGGTTCCCTGGCCTTGGATTGAATTCAGGCCTCAGCGGTGATAGCTGAGACTTAACCCCTAGGCCACTAAGGAGGCCCTGCCTAGATTTTAGTTTTCCCATCTCCCTCACATTATCCCATTGTGCTAACCTTCATCTCCTAAATATTTCCCAAACCTGCCCTCTGGGGTCTGGCCTCCTGCAAGTGGTCTTCTCCAACTGGTTTCTCTGCCATCAATCTATTTCTGGTTCCACCTCCAGGTAGACATTAGCATAGTGTACTGTATACCCCCCACTAAATAAAATCTTGGTGCATTAGAAGCAAGGGAGAAAGAGTAAGGCTGAGGTAGACCAGTCACAGCAAGGAACATCCCCCTGGAGGAAGGGCGCTCATATGTACTATGTCCCCATGTGCTTGGCACAGCCTTCTTCTGCACATGTAATTGTCCACCTCCATGGGGTAGAAGGATTAACAATCTTTTAAGGATGGGGAAACAGGATGAGAAAGGTTAATATTCCAGGGACATCTAGACTAGGACTGACAACAAGCTTTCTTTGCAGACTTCACTACACCTCAGGAAGGTTCTTTCAGATCGTCCAGTGTTTGCAGTGATTGAAGTGGATTAAAATCTTATTTTTAGGGGGCTGGTCCTGTGGCCCACCTTTCTGAAGATGAATTTGCCTAAGATGAAATTTGCTTTGGGGGAGAAAACTGAAGCTTAAGTACCTTTCCCCTTTAATGTCCTTAACAAACTCCTGAAGTTTTGAGGGTCCTTGAGGAAACACCAGAGGCCTGGGCAATTGAGAGGTGGGCTGACAAGGGGCCAAGCCCTCCTGGGCAGCGCCACGAGGGGCTGCCAACCCTAAGCCAAGACCCGAAACAGACCAGACACGCATGACTGCTCATGGATGTGTATTTTAATAAAAATAATTCTGTCAAAATACAACAGGAGTTTTTTTTTCATCTCTCAAGTACAATTTAATAGGATGTTTTGTGTTAGAATTCTCTCTAAACCCTCCCACACCCACAAGTTTCATGCGAATGCCAAGTATCAACTTGCGAGGACAAAGGCAGAACCAGTGTGCACAATGTGGAGGACGTGTTTCAGCTGTAGTTACTAATGGAGGAACACCCTATGCGAAGAGGTGGCGCCTGAAGCAGCCGAGTCCCCGAGTCCGGGTGGTGGGGCTGGCGGTCGAGGGGGGTTCTGCTGCCTGGCCACCACACAGCGTGCATACCTGAGTTGTGAGCAACCAAAGGAACTTCCAGCTCTGACAGTTCTCTGCCTCATCTTTGTGCTTACTTAGAGGGTGGGAAGGCGCTGGGTGGCCTGGCAATCCCCGCATCTCCGGTTCTTGGTGTCTCTGTCCTGACCCAGCCATAGACCCACTTGGATGAGGAGCGGGGGCTCTGATCTCTGTGTGGTCTGCCAGTTTTTGCTCTGTGAGAAGTGAACGGTTGGTGCCACAAGGGGAAAAGGTAAATAGGGAAGACTGCTCCCCAGGACTGAACAACCCCACAGAGCCAAGTCTTCCTGGTCCTGTGAGTCGGGTCCAGTTCCTTTCTCCGGGTTCCCTTCCCAAGTGTCTTTTCCACTCGAGGCTCCTGGAAGCGGGCTGGGAGGGCTGGGCGTGCCTTAGGGGCTCCTCTGGCTGGCGGGCAGACCTGGACTATCAGCAAGACAGTGGGCTCAAGCAGCTTGGTTTTGGTCCTCTCCACGGCTTTTGGGGCAAAGGCTTATGTCCCGAAGGTAAGCTGTCCAACTGGGACAGAGAGCCCCTCTGGAGAGGAACAGAGTAAACAGCTTGGACTCAGCTGAAACAGTGAGATAAGGCACAGAAAATGGGGAGGTGGCCATGGGCACTGAGTGCAAGTCAGGCGGACACACAACCCCAAGCAGCACACAGCCGTTCCGAGCTCTCCTGGGCCCTCTCTCAGCCGCTCCACAAACCAAGCCCAGGCACCCCTCCCCACCCTTAACACACCCCTGAAGTTACCAGCTGCTCAGACACTACTGGGGGATCTCACCAGTCTAACCCACCCACTCTTCAATTTTTAAACTCAACAATGTGGCCCAATCAGAAAGAGGAGGTTTTTCCTGGCTTTGCTGCTAATCTGCTGTGTGACTTTAGCCAAGTCACTTCATCTACTGGGCCTATTCCTTGATCTGAGAGAGGATTGGTGGAGAAGACGTTCCCTCAACTCCATTCCAGCTGCAAAAGCCTCTGGTTTTAACTCCCAATCCTGTTCAGCTCTGATCATTTAACAGTCTGATGCTTCCAGCTCTGGGTGAGGAGCTTAAGATATCCCCAGCCTTGCCCAGGATGACTCTCCTTTAGAGACAGGCTCACACCTCCCCAAAGGGCCAGGCTCTGTGGTCTATCAGTGGGGGTCCCAGTGGGGACCAAGAAATGCAGCAGCCTATAGAAGCATGTCCCCAGGCAGAATGCTGGGAGACGACAGGGCCACGGCCGTGACCCTGTCACCAGCAATTCACCCGACTCAATCTTTTCTCTTGTCCGGCTGCAGGTCTGGGGAGGCCGGGTGGGTACTTAACACTTCAGGCTGTACCAACCATTCCCATGTCCTTTGACAAGAAGGCAGGAGCTTGCCTAGCTCAGATGCAGGCAGGGACCGGAAGTCCAACTTCTGGCCTTGCCCCTTTGCAGGGGCTGCTTGTGTGTTACCACCTAGCCCTCCTAATGCTCCTCTCCTCCTGGGCAATCAGTCACAGATGGCCCACCCACATCCTGGCATCCTCTCAATTCCCTGATGGCAGTACCAGGATTATTTTTCCCCACCAGCCATGGAGATTCATCTGAAAAGATCGGTGGGACGTTTGTAAAGCCCACTGAGGTCCCGCCCTCTGGTCAGCAAATACTCGTAAGTTTTTCCTAAAAGCAGCTAGGGCCCAGCTGCAGGGCTGCCTGGCCTAGGGGCCAAGGGTTCCATCCACTCCAGCATCCAGCGGCCCAAGAATCTGCCTCCACAAGGTCCTGGCTTCTCAACAGCAAGAGTTGATTCCATTAGGCTGTGCCGACAATGAAGATCTAGGCGGAAAGAAGGCAGCCCCTGGTGCAAGGGCCTCTGTCCTGCGGATGCAGGCCTCCTCCCTGCAGCTCTCAGGTCGAAGGCAGGCAGTTTCCAGGCAATGATTTAGTCAGTGAATTA